TCCTTTCCTTCTTCCCTCCCTCCATTTTTTCCTCCTCCTTTCTTCCTGTTCTCTCTCCCTCCTTCCTTCCCCATCCCTCCTTCCACTCTCCCTCCTTTCTTTTCTTTCTTCCTTCCTGCCCTCATTTGTTTCCTTATTCTCACCCTCCCTCATAAGTCTTGCTTTCTTTCTTTCCTCTCTCCTTTCTTCTTTTTTCCCCTCCCTCCTTCCTTCCTTTCTTCTCTTCCTCATCCCTCCTTCCTTCCCTCCCTCATCTCTCCCTTCCTCTTTTCCTTCTCCCTTCCTCCCTCCTTCTTTCCCTTCCCTCCTTCTATCCTTTTTATTTCCTCCCTGTCCTAGGAACCAAACTCAAGACCTTTTGCATACTAGGTAAGAGCTCCAGCACTGAGCCACATCTCCAGCTTCTCAAAATCTGACTTTTCTTAAACAGTCTGGCTGTTTTGTTGGTTAGTTTTGAGCCATGCAGCAGAAGCTTGTTTTGAACACCCTATATAACTCAGGATGACTGTTTTGTTAGGGTTTTATTGCTGTGAAGAGACACTATGAGCACAGCAATTCTTATAAAGGAAAATATTTAATTGGAGCTGGCTTACAGTGTCAGATGTTTAGTCCATTATCATCATGGTGGGAAGCATGCAGGCAGACGTGGTGCTGGAGAGAGAGCTGAGAGTTCTACATCTGGCAGACAAGCAGAAAGAGAGAGACAGGAAGAGACAGAGAGGGATAGAGGTAGATAGCAATGTATAGATGGATAGATAGATAGATAGATAGATAGATAGATAGATAGATAGATAGATAAAGGGAGGGAAGAAAGAGGGAGAAGGCGAGGGAGAGGGAGACTGGGCCTGGTTTAAGCATTTAAAACTCAAAGCCCATTCCCCAATGACAAGAGCCATTCTCTTGCCCTCCAAGAGTCTTTATGAGAAGGGGGCAGCCAATCTTACTCTAGCTTTCAAAAAGGAAATCAGAAATAAAAGAAAAAGGCAGAAGAGCCGACCTTTAGGAGGGTCCTAAGACCTCTGGAAGATGGAGTGTGGTGCAGGCCAGCAGCAGCAGAGGTAGCTGCTGTGGAGCAGAACCCTGAGTGGCAGTCAGCGGAGCTGGTGTCAGGGCAGGCTGTGTGTATGCCACAGTCTCCGTGTGTTTCAGCTGGCTTGGGCTATCCTAATGCTTTGTAGACTGAGTCTATTTTTCACCATTCTGGAGAGAGTGGGAGGTCTAAGGTCTAAGGGCAAGGGTGCACCCAGTCCCCTCTCTGGTGGCTGTTCTTATGCTGTGACCTCAAGTGGCAGAGAACAGAGAGAAACAGGAAGAAAGGTCCTATAGGGTCATGGAAGCATTACTTCCACCTCTGGAACTCCACCTTCAAGACCAGATCACCAGGAAAGGATCTCAGCATGTGGCTAATGTTCGGTGGGGCAGACGTGAGCAATATCTAAGATCTTGTTCACTAGATGCCCACTGCCTCCCCTCCCCCCAGGGCCACACTGCTAATACAGTTTATAAAGATGACTTGTGTCTGGGAAGGCAGCTCCGTGGGCAAAGTGCCTGCTGTGCAGGCGTATACATCTACGTTTAATCCCCAGCACCCATGTCTGGTGGTTTGAGTGAGAATATCTCCACAGTATTGGGTATTTGAATACTTGGTCCCAAGTTGGTGGCTCTGTTTGGGAGATTTGGAAGGTGTGGCTTTGATGGAGGAATTGTGTCAGTGGGGGTGAGCTTTGAGAGCTTGAAGGCTTTGTGCCATTTTCCTGTGTGTTCTCTGTGTCCTGCTTTTGGTTTAAGATGTGCTCTCTCAACGTGCTGTTCCAGTCATCATGTCAGCCTTCATGCTTCCCTGCCATGATGGTGAAGGACTCCTATCCTTCTGAGACTGTAAGCATGAATACATTTTTTTTTTTTCTGTGAGTATGATGTTTTATGATCACAATAGAAAAGTAACTAATATACCATGTAAAAACTGGCATGTTGGTGCACACCTTGGAGGCAGGGGCAGGAAAATCTCAGGGTTTTCTGGGCAGCTAGTCTAGCCAATTAGTGGGCTTTCATTAGTGGAAGATCCTGTCTGTGCTGGTTAGTTTTATGTCAACTTGACACAAACTAAAGTCATTTGAAAGGAGGAAAGCTCAACTGAGAAAATGCCTCTGTAAGACTGGACTATAGGCAAGCTTGTGGGGAATTTTCTTAATGGTAATTGATGGGGGAGGGTTCAGCCCACTGAGCCCTGGATTCTATAAGAAAACAGGCTGAGAAAGCCATGGGGAGCAAGCCAAGTAAGCAGCACCCCTCCATGGCCTCTGTGTTGGCTCCTTCCTCCAGGTTCCTGCCCTGCTTGAGTTCCTGCCCTGACTTCCTTCAATCATGAATAGTAATGTAGAACCGTAAGCCAAATAAACCTTTTCCTCCCTAAGTTGCTTTTGGTCATGGAGTTTCATCACAGCAATAGTAACTTTAAATAAGGCCCTATACTGGCTGGTTTTGTGTGTCAATGTAACACAAGCTAGAGTCATCAGAAGGAAGGAGTCTCAGTTGAGAAAATGCCTCCATGAGATCCAGCTATGAGGCATTTTCTCAGTTAGTGATCAGTGAGGGGTTAGGGGGTAAGGTCCAGCCCGTGGTGTGTGGTGCTATCCCTGGGCAGCACCCCTCCATGGCCTGTGCCTCAGCTCCTGCCTCCAGGCTGCTGCCAGGTCTGAGTTCTTGTCCAGACTTCCTTTGATGATGAACAGCAATGTGGAACTGTAAGCTGAATAAACCCTTTCCTCCTCATCATGTTTTTCAATGTGGTGTTTTGTCACAGCAATAGAAACCCTAACTAATACCCTATCTTAAAACAAAACAAAACCAAGGTAGAGAGTCAGAGGGATACATTTGACATTGACCCCTGGCTTCCATGGACAGGCATATAAACAGGCTAATGCCACACATTAAACAAAACAAGATCTCAGTTCCCACCTTCCCCTAAAAACAGAGTTGGATAGGGCTGGAGAGATGGCTCAGGGGTTAAGAGCACTGTCTGCTCTTCCAGAGGTCCTGAGTTCAATTCCCAGTAACCACATGGTGGCTCACAACTATCTATAGTGAGACCTGGTGCCTTCTCCTGGCGTGCAGGTGTATATTCAGGCACAACATTATGTACATAATAAATAAATCTTAAAAAAAAAAAAACGAAAACAACCAACAGCGTAGGCTAATTTAAGTTCAATGTTAACAGTAGTCAGTCTGGACTGAAGAGATGGCTCAGTTAATAAAGTGCGTACTCCTTGAATTTGATCCAACACCCACATAAAATGGCACTTGTAATTCCACTGTTGGAGAGGTAGAGACAGCAGATCTCTGGGGTTTCTGGCCAGCCAGCTCAGCCTAACTGTTGAGCTCCAGGATAATGAGAGGCTTTGTCCCAAAGGAGTGAATGGAGTTCCTGAGGATGATGCTCAAGGCTGTCCTTCGGCCTCCACACATGTGACATACATGCACTTGCACACACAAGTGCATGGTTGTTTCAAACCGGCAACAACAAAACTAAACGTTGTCATTTACAAAGGCCGGTTGATTGATTCATGTTAGTCCTAATAGGCAAGATGCAGACTAAAACGAAAAGTGACAAGGTCTCATCCTGTTGTGATCTACACACTCCATCCCAAGCTCTTCAGCCCGCTGGGATCTCCCTTCCTTAAGGGTCTAATTTTCTAAGGCTCCTAAAAATTCTAGTACAGCCAGGTTGATCTGTGATGTTAATTAACAGGTCATGGTAGCTTAATTTCAGTTTTTAGTTCTAAGCACAAACTCCGTGGCATGCACCTCAGACCCATGGCTGAGAGTGACGAGGCTGTTGGAAGGCAAAAGTCGTATGTAAAAACGTGTTTTCTTCCTGCATTCCAGCTCATTGTAGAGAGAACATCTTGAGTCGTGTATGCATGCATTGCCTGTCAATTAAAACAAACCTACGGCCTATTGGAAAGGGTAGAATAGAAGGTGGGACATCTGGCAGGCAGAAAGGATTCTTGGATAGAGCCAGGTATGAGAGATTTGCCCAGATAGATGTGAGAAGGACAAACTCATGGTACCTGAGCAGAGGTAACCAGCCATGTGGCAGACTGCAGATTAGTCTAAATGGGTGATTTCGAGTTATGAGCTAGCCAGAGAAGAGCTTATCTATATGGCCTAGGTTTTTGTAAATATATTTTGAGTCTTCTGGGTCATTATTCTGGGGGGTTGGGGCTGGGAGGAAAAACACACACCCTACTACAGTCCTGTTATCTTTCAAACTACCCATGTGGTGGATAATTTTCATTGTCAGAGTGACACGACCTAGGGTCACCTGGGAAGGGAGTCTCAATGGGGGACAGTCCACTTTGTGTTGGCCTGTGGGAATGTCTGTGGGAGATTATCCTAGTAAACTGATGTGAATGGTGTCAAGCCCAGTATGGGTGGTACCATTCTCTAGACATGGGGGTCCCAAAATGTTCAAGCAAGCGAGCACACGTGCACTTATTTCTCTCTGTTCTTGACTGTGGGTGTGATGTGGCCAGCTGTTTGAAGTTCCTGCCTTGACCTCCCCACAGCGATGGACTGCATAATACCTGGAACTGTAAGATGAAACAAACCCCTTTCTCCCTTAGGTTGCTTTTTATCTCCCCAACTCCCATATAACCAGTTTTCTTTTACATCAAGTAACTTACAAAATGCATTCACGTTTGAAGAGAACTTTACACACAGTTACTACAAATGAGAAACCAGTATGACTCATCATAAACAGAAAGTCATCATAAACATGAAGCACAATGAAAATGAAACAAACGGTGCTCCTACACTCTAGCTGGATCCCTGTGAAAATCTGTGTAGGTTGGGAGCATGCGCCTGGGGCCCTGGCTGTTAGGGAGGCAGAGGTGGGAGAATCACATATTTTATTTCTAGGAGTTGAGATCAGTCTGGGTGGGTCTCATGGGAGAACCATTGAGAGAGAAAAATGTTTCTCTTTGTTATAAGGTGATAGAGTGCTGGACTCATCAGCGCATATACAAAAACCTGAATTACAGAGAAGATGAGCACAGCCCCTTGTGCAAGGATGGCATGCAAATTTATGAAGTATTCACTCTATATATTTTTTGATACAGGCTCTGGACTTAAATCCCATATGTAGCTAGACAGGACTTTGAATTCCTGATCTTCCTGCCGCTACATCTGGGATTACGGGTATGAGCCACCACAATATCAAAACTCCTCCTTCCCCTGCCCACAGACAGGGTTTTTCCCAAGTGCTGGGATTAAAGACGTATGCCACCATCACCCAGCTTAATATCCTCATTTTAAAGTTAACCTAAAAACTTACGAGCACCAGACCCAGGTATTTCTCCATTGACTTAAAACAAAAGAATCAGAGCCCAGGAGGTAGCGAGCCCTTGATTGTACTGCTAACAAATGCCCACGGAGATCCGTTACTTTACAAGAATCTGCAATCCACACGTCACCACTTTAGATCCCCGAGGATGGTCCTGCAGTCAGAACCGTCCACATCTCTCCTGCCTTACCCCAGTGGCCAAGTCCCTCCCTCCCTTACTGGTCTTGACTTTTTAAGTTCTTGCCTGGAGTTTTCCTACAAGTCTAGGGGGCCTTCGTAACCCGCCTTTCCTGCCAGGCGTTCAGATCTGCAGAGGCAGATCTTGATAGCATTCCTCCAAACCCCTTTCTCCGAAGTTTTCCCTCGTCTGCAGGTCAGGGATGGATAAGCAAGCTGGCCTCACAGGCTGTTGCAAGGATTAAGTAACTGAAAGAGAGATAGTGCCTTACACAATGGCCCAAAGTGCTCAGTAAGGAGTGGAAGCTCTTGAGAACCACTGAGACATTAAGTCTGGCCTCAGCGCCAGCTCTTTTCAAAGACTCAGGTCCTTTAAAACATTTTTATCACATTAATTACTTGTGTGTGTGTGCGAACATGCATTCATGTGTGCGAGCATGTGCATGCCACAGTACAGTGGGGAGGTCAGAGGATAACCTTTGGGAGAGGGTTTTCCCCTTCCACCGTCTTGTGAGTTCCCAAGATCGAACTCAGTGGTCAGGCTTGGTTTCAATTGCTTTTTACCAGCTAAGTCCTCTCACTGACCCTAAAATTTTGTTTTGTTTTGAGACAGGGTTTCTCTGTGTGGCCTTGGCTGTCCCAGACTCACTCTGTAGACCTAGCTGGCTTTACAGAGATCCGCTGGCCTCTCCCCGAGTGCTGGGATTATGGGTGTGCACCGTCGTGCCTGGTGTGACCCTAAAATTATTGAGAAAGGCTCTCAACTATTCAGCCCTGGCTGGCCTGGCACTAACTGCGTGAATCAGACTGGCCTTGAACACACAAAAATCTGCTTGTCACTGCCTTATGGGTGCTGGGATTAAAGGTCTGTGCCACTGTGCCCAGCATATGTTCTCGTCTTAAACCACCCCTTTCACCCTTGCTGCACATCTTCAGTGGTTCTTACAGACGCTGCCAAGCTGGTGCTTTTCTGAAACTCTTGTTTAGTGGCAGTTGATTTTCCGGAATGCCACTTGTGTTTGCTTGGGCTGTCTCAGCTCTGAATTGGATGCCAAAGTCAGGTGTGTCTGGAGAACACATCCTAGAGCATCTAGACCCTCCCCCACCAAGGCTCTTGGCTTCATGGAAAGACCTTTTTTGATTTCCTCCCTTATCTGACGTGAGTAGAGAGGCAGCTTCTAAGAAGGGATATGACTCTATGTCCTTGAGGGGCCTGATCCGAGACTGTACGCTCACATGGGAGATTCAGTTCCTCTGGGCTGGCCTTCCTTGCCTTGCCCCCTAGGTTCTTGGAAGCCTGGCTCCTCCTCTTAGAAAAGGACACCCAAGAGAGTCATATAGTAGAGGGAGGCAAACATTCTTTTTAGCAAATTTATCAGTTTAACAGGCAGCATCGTGGTGTTGAGTTACCAGGCAGAAGCCGCATGCCTCTGATGTTTGATTGGTGAGAGGCATTAACTAAGAGCCAGGAAAACCCTTTCTGATTAATATTTTGATAAACTTTTTGTTATTGTTTTGGTGTTGTCTTTCTTTTCTTTCTTTCTTTCTTTCTTTCTTTCTTTCTTTCTTTCTTTCTTT